CAAAAACCTCTCAAAAAAAAAAAAAAAAACTTAAAAAAATTAAAAAACGAAACAACAAAAAAACCCTCAGGGAACGGAGTGACAACCCCAATGTCAGCTTGACCCAGAGCCGAGGAGAGGCAGCTAGGAGAAAGGGGTTTCTGAAAACGCGAGCTCTGGAACAGGCAGCTCTGGGAAGTCAGCGAGTTCTCTTACTGAGAGCATTGGAAGAGTTCGGGGTCTACAAGGGGGCTGAAGTGGCCAACGTGGAGTCTAGGTTGCTGAGAGTAAGTGTCCCTCTGGGCAGCCGCTGTCTCCAGAGAAGGCAGCACACCTGTGAAGCCCGTTTGCTAAGGGCCTCCTTCTGATACCTTTATGGAGAATCCAGGTTCTATGTACTATATATTTTATGACTTTGAACCAAACAATTCAGAGGATGCTATAAAAATAAGCGCTAAGGGAGCCAGCAGATGGCGTAATGGCTATGTTGCTGGACTCCCATGTAGTGGACCGCAGTTTGAGTCCCAGACCTAGTGGCTTAAACTCATACTGGGCATGTGTGTGTGCTGGACAGAGAGACAGAAAATGAGAAATCACCCCCCAGCGGGGATGGCTACACCACAGTTCCTTTTCTTCCATTCTCCTCCTGGGATTATGGGCATGTATACACGCACCACACCCAGTGTGATTTTCAAGCCACCAGGTCTGCAGCTCGAACTGTGGTTGGCCATGTGGGAGTCCAGTGCCTTAACCACCACACCACCTGCTGGTCCCCTGATTGTGCTTTTTTTTGTTTGCTGGAGGGCTTGCATCTTGCTCAGAGAGAGAGAGCAAACCCTGCAAAGAGGCATAGCCATGCCATCACCCTCCTTCCTGCATTTCTTCCTTAAGGATTTGGAACATGCATGCCCATGTTCCTGGCATTTTTTCAAACCACTGGGACTCAAACTGTGGATGACCATATGGAATCCGGCTCCCTATGAGCTGTGCTACAGGGCCGGCCCCTTACTGCGTTTCATTTGTGAAAATGTGTCATACTCTATAAGTTTATGATGTGTACATTTTCCAAGATATTTGTTCTATGTTAATCCAAATTTTAATTGCCAGAGGATGCATGTGCTTGCCAGAGGGAAAGCGTATCCCCAGTGGGGCATGATCACTCTGCAGCCCCTTTCCCTCCGCATCTGTATCACTTCAGGATCTTGGATACACACACACGCCTGCCATGTTTTTCAAGCCACCAGGTATTGGATTTGAACCGTGATCAGCCATGTGGGATCCTTAACTACGGTTAAATCTGAGTCATCCCCAAAATTTAAAATAAATCATAGGAACACTATGAACATCCCTACCCCCTCACCCACCACCCTGAATATAAAAAGAAATTCCCCAAAGTTCTTCACAGATGTCTTAGTTCTCCAGAACATGAGATTGGATGAGCAGGAAGGAACGGGGCTGAAGTTGGCCTGGTAGGGTCCTGTGTCTGTCAGGAGGGGACATAGCGAGGGGAGGGCCTGTCCCCTAGCCGGGTGTGCAGGGAGAGCCTGGCAGGGCAGAGAGGCCCCGCGCAGGAGAGGCTAATGTGATTATGGCATTATTCCTGGGCTCTGCAGCGTTTCTTTGCAAAACAGCATACAATTACTTATCCTCTTCTAAAGCTTAAAGGCAGAATCAAACCTGTCTTGCCAGCTTTGCTGGGTTCCTCTCAAACAAGATTATTATTTTTTTTAAAGAGTTTTTTTTTTTTTTTTTTTTTTTTTTTTTAATGT